GCTTAGGATGGGAACATCTGATGATTTGTGGTGGATCCCACGGGCATGGCCCTCAGACTGTTGGGATGCATCATGTACACAGAGTGTTACACTACAGGTTCTTAGCATCAAAGTAAGATTCTTGTAGCTATGGCCCTCCACCTCACCTCCTGTGACACTGAGTGAGTGATAGACATGGTAGCCTGAAAAATCAAAATTGGGACCATATTTTACCTCATTGCAAAAAATGAATCTTCTTGGAATCATCCGTGTATGAAACAGTTTCAGTAACTTGGTGTGCTGAGGCTTACTCATGACTTGCTAATGGATGAACATAAATGTGTCTAAGTAAATAAGTCCCAAACAGGAGACAGCAGACATCTTGGCAGTTTTTATTGGCTATCTATGTAATTACTTACATGAAGCTAATTTGGAAACCTATCAGCCGAGGCTTCTTGACTGTGGTAAAGAAGAAATTATTATTATTGGCATTCTCTATTGCAGAAAGATGGGACTAGACAGTCTCTCACCCGTTCCTTGCAGTAACAAAGTCCGTAATTCTGTGGCTGGTCATCCTTAAAAATCAGAACTGAAGACAGACAAATGGGATCAGGGGATTAACTGAAGTCAAACAAGGAGTCAGGAAAATAGCCATCGTACACCTGCTACTACCCACCCCCAGACTGTACAGCGAAAGCAGAACTCTATTTAGAACTAAATGGTGACTTGAAGGGCAGGGGGCCCCAGCCAGACCAGGGATGACCTAATGCATGGAGGATTTGAGCAGCTCTCTTTCTCAACCCCATGTAGGTTTTTGTTTTCCCTTTCTCTCATTAATTTCTTTAAGATAGTTACAAGAGAACTTTTACTGATCAATATTTAATTATCGGCATTTTCTGCTTTGACCGTGCTCAGGGACACAGAGCATTGAGCCTATAATCAGGATCAGCTTGATGTCTACCTTTACTTATTAGCTGTGTGGCTTTTTAATTAGATGGAGTACTTTGAGTTAGGCTTCCCTTCTTTTAGGGTATAAATGATCTTCCCCCAAAGTACATTTTTTCTTCAGCTATTCAATCATCAAGTGTTTATTGGGAAGCTGTTCTATTTTAAACATCTTGGAAGACCCAGAGACCAGTTGGAGCTCAAGAACTTAGTGTATGTGCCTGTGTGTTCCACACCCTCCCCCTCGATCCTTCTGGGTCTTCCTTTTATTGTGCTGGTCTTGCTCAGCTGACACCAAATTGAGTGGCTAAGGGAGTCTATCAGGCGGAGGAAGAAAATATTAGAATTTCTCTTCTGATTTAACTTTGTCCCTCCGGGGATCATTTTGATGGTTTCAAATGTACCGAAAACACCAAATGTGTCCTTTACTGGGTTTCCTATTAGAAATTTCCCTAATTGTGCCTTGTTCTTCCTGAACAGTGAAGGATTTTTTTCTTTTATTGTCTAATGTTCCTCGTGGTTAGATGTATTGTGTGCGTCTTGGGTTGGTAGGAAAGACCACAGATATAATGCATGTTCCTCACAGGGCATGTGGCACCTGTTTATCTCCTCAGTAGTGAGTGACATCCAGTGTTAGCTCATTACATATCCATGTTTGAGTATGCTTTAAAGTATACAGAACACACTAACACATACAGAATTCATGAATGAGTATGCATGTGTTCAAATAGTCTGGATTTCAAATAGTCCGTGTGTGTGTGTGTGTGTGTGTGTGTGTGTGTGTGTGTGTGTTAACTAGTAGTAAATTTTTCTTTTTAGTTCTTAAGATAGGGTGTCTCTATGTAACTTAGCTCAGGCCACCAAGGGCCAGGAGTACAGGCATGCACCCATCACATATAATTTTTAACTAATAGTCTTAAATGCTCAAATGGTTTGGGAGATACAGCTGAATAGGACAGTCATGTCATCTTCTATTTATGGATTATTAGAACATTACAGATAGGGTTTGTGATCAGAAACAGTTCTTGCTCTAGTCGCCCTGACTTATTTTCAGTATAAACATGAGTGTTATTATTTGTAGAAATGTATTTTCCCATCCTTCTGTTTATCTTATAGAGTATCAGGGTAGTGTAAGAACAAAGAGAAAAGACTTTCAGGAGTATGGTCCTTCCCGTGCAGAGGTCCACATCCATGATCCAACCAACTGCACATCAAGATGCTGTGCTCTTAGGGCTTCTTGTCCCATTTTCCCAAACAATACAAAATAGCATTTTGATTTTTTTTTCCTTAGCATGCATGTGGTGTTGGGCATTTAAAAATATCCAGAGTTAAACACACAGAAGGACATGTGCAGGTTACATAAAAATATTACGCTATTTTATTTGAGCATCAGCAGATCCATGGGAGACCTGGGTTCAATGCCTGATGGGTATTAAAGGATTACTGTATGAGTGTGAGGACTAGAGAAAGACATGGAAAATTATATCCTCAGGATCAAACCCAGGGCCTTGAGCATGGCTGGTGAGTGCTCTGCCACTGACCTCCAGCTCCAAACCCTCATAAAGATTTGTTAAACTGATATCTACAACAAAGGAAGCTAAGCACTAAGTTCCAAGGACAAAGATCCAGTAAGAGACAAAGTAGCTTTCTCCCCACAAGACAGAAGGCAGGGCCTTAGCGTGTATTGCCTTAGTAACTGATGGTCTTTTCATTCCTTTGAAAAGTAGTAATTTCAATAACTTGTTGCACCTTTAAAAAACTTTAATATTTGCTTTCTCAGAAACAGAAATGCATAGCTGTCTTTTAAGCAGCCAACACTTAACTTTATTGCGCTTAACAAAAAATAAGTCATGTAGTTGGCATTTTCTTTGGGCTACCAACCAGCTCCCAAATAAAGACACAGAGACTTATTATTAATTATGAATGCTTAGCTCTTTTAACTTTATTTAACCATTTAAGTTGTTTCTATTCATCTATATTTTTGTTTGTTTTGTTGTTGTTGTTGTTGTTTGTTTTTGTTTTTAACCTTTCTTTCTTTCTGTATGTCCTACTTTCCTGCTTCCTCTGTGTCTGTCTGTCTGGCCCCTGTCGTCTCCCTGATGTCTCCTTTTTTTTTCCTCCCCAGCCTAAATTCCTCCTCCTAGTCATTCTCCCTGCCCAGAAGTTCTGCATATACCTCCTCCCTCACTACTGACCACTCAACTTTATTTATTAGACCAGTCAGGGGCCTTAGGCAGGCAAGGTAAGACAGCATCACATCTTTATTTCATTAAACAAATGCAACAATCTTTACATAGTTAAGAAATGCAATACATTGTTGCATAGTCAAATATTCCACAACAAGATCACAGGCCAATGATGTGGCTTGGCAGATAAAAGCACTTGTCACACAAGCTAGGCCACCTGAGTTAGAGCCCCAGAACCCATAGTGGAAAGAACTGATTCCAGTGCAGGCTGTGGCAATACACATGTACACACACACACACACACACACACGCACGCACGCACGCACGCACGCACGCACGCACGCACGCACACACACACACACACACACACACACAGTTTGTTTCGGATGATTGAAAGACCTATGGGTCTTTGGAACAATTTTAGCATGTTGGATGTGTCTAATGGAGGTACCAAGTAAAAGGTCCTAAAACTTATAATTGGGATAGATTAAAATACAAAAAGACCAGTGCTTAGGGTATTATGGTTCACAACTATAATTTCAGCACTTGAGAAGCTGAGGCAGGAGGTTTGCTATACATTTTAAGGTCACCCTAGGCTACATAGTGAGTTCCAGGCCAACTTGGGTCAGTAGAGTGAGACCCTGCCTCATCCCCTGTCGATGTGAGAATAAACTACTACAACCACAACAGAAAACAGTGAGAGGCTTCCCCAAAACTCAAAATAGGCCTAGCCCATGACCTAGTCACCTCTCCTCGGCACACACCCAAAGGGCTCTACATTTTGCTATAAAGACGCTTGCCTATCCGTGTTGATCACGGCTCCTTTTGCAATAGCAAGGAAATAGAACCAACCTAGATGCCATAAACAGAGAAACAGATAATGAAAGTGTGGTTCATACACACAGTGGAGTTTATTCAGCTGTGGAGAAAAAAAGGAATTATGAAAATTTCAGGAAAATGGCTAGAACTGGAAAGCATAGCAAGCAAGGTAAGCCAGCTCCGATGGACAAGTACCGTATGTGCGTCCTGACGACCCAGGCGCAGGCGGACAAACACTGTGTGTGGGTCCTAACTTCTAATTGGTAAATACACACATCCAGGAGGATGTAAATGTGAATCTGGAAAGAGGCCCATGAAGTGGAAGAAATGGCTTTAAGGGAAATGTGGAGAAGACAACAGAACAAAGTAGAAGTGAGGCCTGGGGGCCAAGGGGACAGTGGGCGAAAGAGGACAGGGAGACGAGGGGAGAGTGAGAAACGCGGGAAAATCCCACGTGGAAGGAAACCCGTTGCTTTGTAAGCTAATAAAAATAGATAGATAGATAGATAGATAGATAGATAGATGGATAGATAGATAGATGATAGATACATGATAGATAGATGATAGATAGATAATAGATAGGTGATAGATAGATGGATGGATAGACCGATAGATAGATGATAGATAGATAGATGATAGATAAATGACAGATAGATGATAGATACATGATAGATAGATGGATGATAGATAGATAGATGATAGATGGATGGATGGATAGATCGATAGATGATGGATGGATGATAGATAGATGATAGATAGATGATAGATGAATGGATAGACAGATTGATAGATGATAGATAGACAGATAGATGATAGATGGATGATAGATACATGATAGATGATAGATAGATAGATGATGGATGGATAGATAGATCAATAGATGATAGATAGATAGGTGATAGATAGATAGACAGACAGACAAACTGAAAGAAAAGGGAAGAGAACGAAACCGAGAGGGAAAAGTAAAGGTATGTCACTGGGTACAATTGAGAAGTGCAGAGAGAGGCGCGCAGATTGCTGGGTATGTTTGCAATGAAGCCTGTGCTTTCTGCCCTGTGCCCTGACTTTCAGAAAACTGCTCATCGCCAAGCTGGACCAGGCAGAAAAGGAGAAGAGGGATGCTGCCCAGCTGGTTCGAGAGTTTGAGGCTCTGACGGAGGAGAACCGGACGCTGAAGATGGCCCAGTCTCAGTGTGTGGAACAACTGGAAAAACTCAGAATCCAGTATCAGAAGAGGCAAGGGTCGTCCTAGCTTCAGCCGAGGAGCGAGGCTGCTGGCTGCCATGTGCTAGCCAACAAGATTTGCATCTTAAAGGGACAGAGAGCAAAATCTATTGCTGCTTCTCTTTATGACCCACATGGCAAATGTCTAGAATGAGTTTAGTGCTGCCTAGCTTCCAGCTTGAGAGAGGGATATTTTATTTTAAGTGGGGGGTCATTAATGCAAAGCTGTCACCACCAGTGTATATTTTCAGAGATCAGAGTTCTTTTCCAAAGATTTATATAAATATATATATATATATATATTTCCTAGTTAGAAAGATGTGATCATACTATACATTATAGTAGAAAATAATAAAAAAAAATAGAATACTGATTGGTCTCCCTGAAAACCACGAGCCGTAAAACAAGCCAGGAGGATGTTCACTGTAGTTTCACATCTGTGTATTTTAAAATTTTATGCCTTTTCCTATTTCAAGTCTGCTTAACGACAAACCATAGAAACTTCTCTCCACATAGCTGAAGTTGGTTGAGTCAGACGTAACTCTCCCGTGATCGATTGTCCTAAGAATAAATGGTTGCATAGCCTAAGTGCTTTCTCATGAAAACGTTAGCAGGCATTGTGTCCATGCCCAAAGCGTGCCCGCCAGGGCTGACTTGCTGTGTAATGAAGAATTGAGGCTGGTGCGCTTCCTTCGCTCCTAGTTAGCGCACATTGGACACATTCGCCTCTGCTGCGTGTGTCTTGGGGATCTGGGCCTGGGGAAAGTGGAAAGAAACCATTCAGACACTACTCGGTTGGGTGTCTGCAGATCAGTAGAGCGACACAGCTATTGCAGTGTTTGGGGTTTCCGGAAACGTGTTAGATCAGTGGTAACTGACAGGAATGTGCTTGTGAATTCAGGGGTAAAGTGATTTCCCTTCCTTCCAGCTACCGCACTTCCCACCCATTGTTCTGTGTCCATTTCTATTCACACGACTTCTTTTTCATTAAACGTGTATCAAACGCGCAGCCCCGTGTCTTGCTTCGGCCTTAAGCCCTGTGTGCTTGGAGTTGCCCTGGTTAGAATTTATTCTCAGCAGTTATGCGTTGAAAAAGAAATGATGTCCTTTTCCAGGCAAACACCTAGGGTCCTCATCTAAAATACTCAGAGCACTAATACTGACTATGAGATGTAGACAGCGGTTCCCAACCAGGCATGATACCCCCCTACCCCCGGGGATACTTGGCAGTGTCTAGAGACATTCCTTTCCTTTTAAAGATACATATGTGTGTGTGTGTGTGTGTGTGTGTGTGTGTGTGTGCACACGCTCGAGAGTGCAATGCTGCCCATGTAGTTGTCAGAGGATGACTTTTGGATCCCTTCTCTTTTTCTACCTTGTAGTGATTTGGGACTGAACCCAGGTCCTCAGGCTTGGCAGCAATAACCTGCCCAGCCATCTTGCTGCCCCTTGTAGTGAGATGTCCACCCTGCCTGAACCTGTTGCACTGACCACGCCCATTAGGACATGGGGACAGGTGTGGGCGTGACCTGGGAGGACTAGGTCTGGGGTCCCAGACCCCAGCTCCCTCACTCTCTTTCGCTTCCTGGTCAGAGACAGAGAGCATCCGGAGGCATCCTTGGGACAGGAACCTGCAGCGGTCATCTGTTTCTGGTGTAAGTGATTTCTCCCGGAATAAACATCCGTCAGCCTATCATTTCCAAGATATTTATTTATCACACATTAGCCCCTTTATCTTTGGTTTCCACAATAAGGGTAGAGGACAATACTAGTATGGAGGACAAAGCCTAAGAATGATACCACACTCAGGGCGGCCTTCCCTCAAAAAGAGTTATCCCATTCAGTGACATGCCAGCAGGACAAAGAGTGATGTTTCCTCATGCTGAACCAGTCACTGGGGATCTTGGGCACAGACTGGGAAGCCAGGGGCAGATTCATGTGTATGGTTCCGGGACCATGAGGCCAGAACACCTTTTGTTGCTTTAATACTTGACACAAAGCAAAAACAAACAAGCAAACAAACAAACAAAACTTTGTGATTCTGGATAGAGCCTGCTTTGGTTTGTTTTGTAGTAACTACCAAGCCTAGAAGTACCAACAGGAAGGGATCTTACCAAACGTACACAGTTCTAGGGCTCCCTGAGTAGCAGGAGAAGAGCGCCTCACTAAGCTTGGGACACTGGCTTTGAGCTCCGTCACTGGACACGTCTGTAGAACTCGAGCAGTCCTGACCTTATGCAGAGGACGAGGACAGGGAAATAGCTTCTAAGTCCCCACTCTGGCAGGAGGGATATTAGAGCAGGTAAAACTGTTGGGATGTGTCTTAGTCAGTGATCTACTGCAGTGAAGAAACACTGTGACCACAGCCACTTTTACAAAGGAAAACGTTTCATCGGGGCTGACTTACAGTTCAGAGAGTTAGTCCATTGTCATCATGGTGGAGCGCGTGACAGGCTGCAGACAGACACGGTGCTGGAGAGGAGCTGAACCAATGCTGGCAAGTGTGGGAAGAGAGACGCTGGGCCTGACTTAACTCCAAAGCCCACCCCACAGTGACACACTTCCTCCAACAAGACCACACCTCCTAATCCCTGCCAGGAAGTACCATGGCCAAGCATTGAAATCTATGAACCAATGAGGGTTATTCCTATTCAAACTACCACAGGGTATCTCCGGGGTTATGGCACAGAATCATTGTATGAATAACACTAGAAACCCTGCTAATGTCAATGTTTCAAAAATATACATATGTGTTCCTCCAAAGCAAAATTTGCCCTGAGTGTATGTGTTTTCAGTAGATTTCAATTTATTAAAACATGAAATATTGATGGGGGGTGTCCTGTGTGCTGTGAATATAAAGTCCCTTTTATTGGTTGATGAATAAAGCTGTTTTGGCCAATGGACAGGAAGGATTTATCCAGGTGGGAAATCCAAACAAGGATATATATATATATATATATATATATATGTGTGTGTGTGTGTGTGTGTGTGTGTGTGTGTGTGTGTGTGTTAGGCAGAGTCAGGGAGACACCATGTTGCTGCTGAGGAAGCAAGAGATCCAGGCATCACCGGTAAGCCAAGATCACGTGGAGATGCACAGATTAATAAAAAAGGGCTAATAATTAAAAGAGAGATAGCCAACAAGAAGCCTGAACAATAGGCCAAACAGTTTATAATTAATATAAACCTCTGTGTGTTTATTTGGAATGAAATGGCTGTGGGACTGGATGGGACAGAAATGCCTGTCTCCAAAGTATCATCTATTTTATTGAGTGTCTGGGAAACCTAAAGGCAGCGTTTGTCATTGTTTTGACAACTTCCCACAAATCTTACTTACCACCGCATATTAACTGTCTATTACAGATCACTGAGAATTTGCCATTTTCACATTATAGAGCCAAAGTTATAGTATTGGCCTGGCACTGAGTGAGACATTACAGTCAATCCCTAGCAACACAAAAAGGAAAAGTAGAATGAAAGAATTCCTAATATAGCAATATGGTTAATATTACAGAACGTCAAAAATCAACACAGAGGCCTTAATAGCCATAGTGTGAAGGCTCAGAGCTAGAATTAAAGAAGGATGAAAATCTCATTATACTTTGCAATTGCTCTACTAAAAGATCTGCTATTTGTGGGCCATTTAGTTTGTGCAGACATGGAAAGAATGTGATCAAATATGGCCAGTGGCCAAATCTATTGGAACTGGCAGAGCTTGTTTCTCTAAGTCACAGAGGGCTAGGGTATATTATCAATTCCGTACAAACAAGGAACAGAATGGACTTGAAATTCAAATGCAACTCACCTCCCCGCCAGATCTATGACATACTTCACAAACACGGCAACATCAGAGACTGCGGAAGCGAATGGTATAAAGAGTTAAAGGTAACTAGTCCGGTTGTAGCGTGTTGGTTGCCCCAAAGAGAGAGCTAGTACTAGAAAAAAAATTGGTGAAGGCTCATAGGAATGTTCAGGGGCCCTGGAGTAATAGCCGTGGAGGCGTACCAGCAGTTAGGAGGGATGGGAAAGACACCCGAAATGGGGTCCACATCAAATAGACGGCAAACGTGACTTGAACAGAGGAGGAGGAGGACAAGATTCAGTGGTCCCAGAGGCCCCTCTGTGTCACACTCGAAGGGTGTTCTAGGTCCAGGTGTCATCTAGCTATTGAATAATTGAATAATTCTTACATGTTCGTTGTGCTATCTGTTGTACAAGAGAAGCACCTTTTAAATAATTTTCAATTAGCACACAAAATGAGTTTGTTATTATATTTTCATACAAAACAGATAGGCATTCATTGCACTCTGCTCATAATGTACTCCCCTACTGGACTTCCTCAATCCCCTGTGACTGTGACTGGCTGGTCCCCTTCCTGCCTCCCTATAACCCCTCTTAGGTTTTCAGGTCACGAAACACAGAACCCCCAACATAGACACATGATATAGCTGTGTGTGTACATGACTAAATCTGGGTCTGCTATGAAGAGAAAATATGTACTCTGTCATTTCTTTTGCTGTGCTTCTCCGGCAGACAACCCCTTTAGAGTCACTCCTCTTGTATTTCATGCTGTATGCATACAAATCATATCTGTCATATTGTAGGCACCATGCCATTTACATATGCCCCCACCAAGTGGCTGCGCTTAAACTCATTCACCCAAACTAGAACATTAAGATTCTATAGTTCATGCAAAATTCTCCAGCTCTAGGATTCAGTTACAAAGATACCAACCCCACTCCCACTCATGTCGCCCCCACCCCTCTGGCCTTGCCGCCCATCCCTTACTCCTTTAACCCCTCCATCTTTCCTCCCATCCACGAAACATTACTGCACAGATATGCACTAGCTATGCACTTGCAGGCCTCTGGCAGAGAACAGTGGGAATGGTGCGTGCGTGCGTGCGTGCGTGCGTGCGCGCGTGGCTGCGCGCATGCGCGCGCGTGTGTGTGTGTGTGTGTGTGTGTGTGTGTGTGTGTGTGTGTAGGCATTATGCTGGCCTGCCCATGTCACCTGGCAGAATGCACGCAGGCAGTACCCTGGTCAGCCCAGGGTTCCATGGTTGCATAGTCTGCAAGCTGGTGCAAAGGACCCTTTAAAAGACAGACCTGGCCACTTATGCTCCCCACCCCCATCTCTCTTTACAGCTCTCTTTCCCATTGTTCCCCTGGGGCAGACAGGACTTTTCCTGTCTCCCTCTTCCCTTCTGTCCTATCTCTGTCTTTGTCTCTGTCTCCATGTCTCTACCTCTCTTTTCTTTCCTCCCCCCCCCCCTTTCCTTTCTAACAAAACTTATCACTTAATCTCTGTTTGGCATCCTCGGCTGCCTTGGAATCTGCTCAATGTTCCCCTCTCGATTTATCGTTAACACCCATTCCCAAGAAATTCTTAATCCAGGAAGGAAGATATATGTTTACTTAAGTAATCATGTAGGTCAGCTTAAAATATTTCTAAAAAAGATTCCCTTAAAA